TTTCAAAATGCCCCTGGGGGGGAAAATAAAAAAAAAAAAAAAAAACCAGCAACAAAGATCGCCTTCCCTCAGGGAAGGGAAATGACTCACTGTCTCCTCTCCCTCAGCAATTCCATTGATATGAAACACTTCTCTGCCGGTTCACCCTCACAGGAATCTCTCTTTGAAGATGGGGGGGGGGAGGGAAGAGAGGGTGCGTAGGGAGGGAAAAAGATCCAACTTACGGAGGTGTAGCTACCCTTCTGGCTCCGGATCTCTTGCTCTTGACACTGTAACCCAGCCAGGTGCCTCTCCAGCGCTTCCCAGTCCATAGTGGGCAGCTGAGGCTCCGGCTCTTTCAAGCCCGAGGAGGAGTTCTCTAAGGGGTGGAAGGTCACCGGCGGGCCCCCATTGCTGAGCCGGGCCCCCCCTGCCGCCGCCCCCGTGCTCCCCGGCGGCGGCTGGGCTTTCTGGAGGTGAGGGGCTTTCCTGTAACCTCCGCCGCCCCGTTTGGGTCCAGTCCTGCGGCCCGGGGGCACCACGTTGGCATTGTGCCGGAGGTCCAAGGGGTGGGGGCGATGGTGTCGGTGAGGCAGGGGCTGGTGGCTCGGGTCGTGCTGCGGGGGCTGGTAGTGATGCTGCTGCTGATGATGAGGAGGAGGGGGGTTGCCGTTGGGTGCCGGCGGGGGCAAGGCGGGCATGGCCAGGCTGGTGCCCCGCTCTCCCTCCAGCTGCTGGACTAAACTCCTCCTGGCAAGGGCGGTTTTGGCATAGCAGGCGGCATAGCTCCCGTCCTCCACCCACACATCAATCTCCTTCCTCTTGGGGTAACCCTGGAAGTCGTCTTCGTCACCTTCCTCCTCCTCCTCCTCCTCGGAGTCCTCCAAAACAGCCAAGTCCAGGCTGGTAGGCGAAGGGGAAGATTTGCATTCCGAGCAAGGGGTCACTTTGCTGGAACTGGATGCCGAGCTGGAGCGGCTGCTGCAGGAGTCGCTGCCTAAATCCATGCCATCCTAGGGGCGAGAAAGAGACATCCAGCTGGTTAGAGGGAGGGAGGGAAGAAAGAAAGAAAGAAAGAAAGAAAGAAAGAAAGAAATGAGGAAGGAAGGAAAGAAAGGAAGGAAGGAAGAAAGAAAGAAGGAAAGAAAGGAAGGAAGGAAGGAAGGAAGGAAGAAAGAACTTGCAAGGCGGCTGCTTCTGCTGGTGGAACCACAGCCCCGCCAGGCTCAGAAAACCCCAGACACAAGATTTTTCCTCCCCCTCGCTCCAGATGCTGCCAGGATCTTCAAGGCGAGAGATCCGCTTCTCCTGGGAAGGAAGGGAGGGCAGCTCTCCGCCACTTCCCCAAAGTTTCCTGCAAAGCCCCCACCCTCGCCCCACCTAGGCTGGCCGTTCGTAACTCTTTCCACCGGGGTGGGGTGGTGGGGGCGATGTCGACAAGGTGGAAGGAACGGCTCGCTTTACCCCACCTAGAAGTGAGTCAGGCGCGGCAGCAACGCCTTTTCCTGGCGCTCGCCTGGTGCGGCGGCAACGGCACCAACCGGAGCCGTGTGGAAGGGAAGGAGGCGAAGCGACACGCGCCGCCAACAGTTTTTTTTTTCCAGTCCTGGCCCCGCAATGCCACCGGAAACTTCCCGGCTCCTTCGCGCTCCGCCGCGAATAGGGAGATACGCCGGCTGCGCACAGAAGAGAGGGGAGGAGAATCGCTCAGAGGGAGCCGTTTCGCTCTCTCCCCCCCCCGCCTCGTCCTCACGCAACCGGCGTAAAAAAAGTGAATGAGAAAATGCCGGGCCCACAGCGCCCCCTGCGGTACAGCCAGAGAGATCTTGGGAAAGGGTAATGCAGAGGAGAGGTGGGAGTGCACGCGGGGTCACTCTCCTCTTCCCCCAAATACAGTACCTGTAAATAAATACCCGTACAGTATACTGCATCTGAGCCTCTCCTCGCAGCGACTGCTCGATTTCCACCACTCCCTCAGGTTGTTGGCATTCACACGCGAACCCGCGTGTTTCAGCCCCTGGAGACAAGCAAACGTGCCTTGAACGTTTGTAGAATGCTTTTTCTGGAAGCCGACGGGTTAAGCAGAGGGAGGTCGCCCCCTCAGGAAGCAGAGTAGGTGGGGTGGGGATCATGAAAGAACAGTAAATTTTTAGTTATTTAAGTTACCATTAATTGTATTTTTACTGGCAGCAGGGTGTTGAAAGGCATGTGTACTTATATTGCTTGATTTGTTTGGGGGGGGGGGACAGCATTTGCTGCTGTGCCTCAGACAGCGAAATATCTTGAGCTGGCCCTGCTTTCTCTTCGCCATTGAACACCTGCAGAGAGGGTGAGGATGGGCACTACTTGTGTTCCTGGAGAATAAATAATACTGGCATCAGTGGATCTTCCTTTTAAGTAAACATGCTTAGGGCTGTCACATCTTGTAAGTTTTCGAAACTTTAAAAATCTACAGTACAGTATTTGTAAGTTTCTTCGTCAGAACTTCAACACACTGAATGTCTTATAATCTGTGATATCTCTCAGCCTAAGGATTGGATGAACACCTCAGCTAAATCTGGCCTTTGAATCTGTTCAAAAATGTACAGAAAGGCCAGCACAAAGAGACCAAAGATGCATATAACCGAGCACTGTGTTTCTAATGGTGCTCAGCCAGGTGTTTCCCAGAAGATGATATGCAGATCATGAAAGCCACATGCTTCCTGTGGAGCTTCCCAACCTTACTGAATAGGGAGAGTCCACTGGAAAAAAAAATCACAGTTAATGGCCGTTGGCAGACCTCATCTTCCATCAGTTTATGCAGTCCTTCCCCCTTGTGTGTAAAGTCATTCATCATATTGGTCAGTGATGTGAACACAAAGAAACACAGAGCTCAAATGATAATCTACATCAGTGCTGGAAAACATGTCCATCAGTCCCACCAAGTTCTGCTTGAATGCAGCTCCCATCATCCTTCACAATCGTCTGGAATTGCAATCCAACAACATCTGCAGTGACTCTCTACCTACTCTAGTACAAGCCTTGTCCATGCCAGAAATGCACTATTACAACACCCATGACAGGTTGCCATCCAATTTGTAAGAAACAAAACAAAACAGCAACACAACAAAACAAGTCAAGGAGCATTCCAGGCACCTCAAGATCTGGGCACATTTCAGTGTTTTAGTACCCTTAAACTCATCATGCTCATGACTGAGTACATAACTCTCGGTGAGGCCTGACCAAAATAGAGTAGAAATAAACCATTATGATGCTTTGGTGAGGCCTCATCAGAAGCAGCTATCTGTATTGTGTGAAAATATGCCCTTTTGTATCTGGCCTGAACATTATGTGGATCATTTTTTCTTGCATGACCTCAGAGAACAATATTCTTGTTAGTTTTGCTGTAAGCACACATTCTCCACATGCAATGAGGGGAGCACACTAGTGCAGTCCTCTGTTACTGCTTCCAACCTGCAAGCATTATAGTTTGAAGAGGGGGAGCCAGCTGTATCCAGGTAGCCTCTCCATGTGAATGAGAACCCCTCCCACCCAAAAATTAAAAATATTTTTTTTTAAAAAAAAAATCCTGTTTCTGGCTTACATAGAAAGGCTTCCAGGGTACAGCACTCTCCCCCTCTCCAGTTTGTTGCTTTCATGCATTGAAAGTGATGACATGAGGGGACCCAGCTAGTGCACTCCCCTCGCCATGTGTGAAGAACATGTAGCGCACAATTGAAGAGGACCACAGTATATACACAAGAGGTCCATTCTTTTCAGCTGCGGCAAAGGAGTTGGAACAGCTGCTGCTAGAGATGGCTGGCACACAGTTGTGCCAGTCTCTCCAGTTCTGAAAGGCTGCTTGGCTACAATATTAAGGGGGTTGGGAAGAATTGTGCTCCTTCTCCATTAATGGCAAAGTTCAATTAATTAAATGCTTACAGTTCTCTTGTATCTTCCTTCAAGCTGCTCAAGGCAGCATAGACAGTCCTCCTGGGAGATAGGCCGGACCGATATACGGAGTGCTCCATCTAGTGAGCTTCATAGCCAAATGAGGATTTGAACCTTGGTCTGGTTAAACCCAGCAATGTAACCACTAAACCATAATGGCTGTCAAAGACGACAAGCCTACACCACTCAATAATGCCAGCTAATCTTATATCAAACTGTCAGTTGGGCCTAAGCCCTGCATAGCAACCAAGGTCAAGCAAGTCTGCAGTACGTTCAAGGTATGAACTGCTGGATAGCTCAGTGGTTTAGGCATCTAGTTGAGAGTTTGATCCCTCGCGGTGTCTTCTTGAGATGATCCATAGGGTCCCTTCCAGCTATGCAGTTCTAAAATCATTATTTTAAAGTATTTCAGGACCAGAAGTCTTTTCATAGCAGCATGTTTATGCCTTGTGATGAGAGCACAACAGCAGTTAATCCTATTAACAGAATCTATGATGATTTACAGTATAATCCTAGATATGTCTACTCAGAAGTAATTTCTATTTTCCATAGGGATTGTTCAAGGTAAATATGCATAGGATTGAAGTCTTACAGTACAATCCTATGCATGTCTATTGAGAAATAGAAATGAACAACTTTAATTGGTTTGTGGACTTGAATAAAATTATTTCTAATATTAGAAATATTTCTTGCTTCCCTGGGCAGTAATCTTACTAGTAGGCTACAGAAAACATCTATACAGATGTTAACTCTTCATTGCAACGATAAATGGGAAAAGGTAGCTTGTGAAGGTTATTTTGATTTATACAGATCAATTTTTAACACCTATCCAAAGCTCTAGGCATCCTGCCAGCAGGGTTTTTTTAAAAAACTAAATCCATAACTTATAAAAAAATGGCAACTTGGCACTCGTAATAATAAAGCATTTTTTCCAAGCAAGTCAATATTGGAAAAATATTTCAACTTCTTCCAAAATAATAGTAATAAATATAACACCCCCCCAAAAAAACCCTAGTAAAGCAGCAGGGGGAGGGGGATCACATTTGTATTTCTCTCCAGGAAACTCTGCTGTACACTGTCCCTCACAAAACAGCCTGAGGAAATAGATGAGCAAGAAGCCCGGAAGGTCAACAGATTCAGACTTCTTATAAATCAAGGGAAGTTGCACTAAATACATCTTTGTTGATCACAAAACAGCTGTATAACTCAGGGCTACTCCCAACAGACGAACAGACTTGTAACATTCAGAAATGCACACTAAAACCTAACACTTTGATTGGCTTCAGAAACAAACTACTAGCCAAGAGAAAATACCTAATATTTCACTAATATGTATAGTATTTCAGAAAGCAAAGCTGTGGTAAGATAGCAAAAAGGCAGTTATCTTACAACCACATACCTGAAATCAATGGGATTCACTCCTGAATAAAGATGGACAGGATTACACAGGAAAACCATAGCTTCTATGGGCTATGGGGCCATCATCATGTACTAGATTAGATTTGTATTCTTTTTTTTAAAACAAACCTTTAAGAAGTTTATCTTTTTCCATGTTACTGAATCTCCTATCTTTCTTCACAGTCACCCCAAATTATTTTTAATTCTTAAAAAAAACACTACCAAGTTCATATTAAATTACCTTATCACTACATTGGTATACTAGTATAGCACTAGATTACCTCTGTGTTACTCATGGAAAAAAGAGAGAAAAATTGATATGAAATAGAAACAACACTGACAAAGTCCAGTAGACTGCAGTGTTTCCATGGTATGTGTGTATGTTTGTATGTGTGTGGAGAATTTTGGAAAACTACCCCTTTTCTTTACTGCTGCGTAACCCTTTGGCTGCCCTCTCCTAGCAGCTTGATGGCAGACCATGAAAGGAGAGATCACCGGGGGGGGGGATCAAAGGAAGGGTGGCTGTGGCATGGATCAAACCACAGATGAAGGGGTCAGTGTGAACACCTAATCTGAATAGACGTGTAAAATAGGCTGCAAATCAAGCTGCAGCAAAGCCCAGTTGCTCTAATCCAGTTTGCTGCTGTAGTTGTACTGTTAGTTGCAAGGTTTCCTCCTGTCTGTT